TGTCTTGCCAGCGTTGTTTCATCTGTTCAAGGGCTTTATCCTTGGCTTTCTTTTTTCATATCTTTTTGCTGCAATAGTTGGTTCTTGGCTTCTGTTTTGATTTACACAGAATTTAAATTAAATGTTGTTTGTATTTTACTCTTTCTTTATTATTGAATATTTTTCTTTTCTTTTCATGTTGTTTCACTAATTTTATCATCCAGTCATTTGTTGTTTCCATGGTCCTAGTTGTTGTCTTGTATGACAATTCTAGCTGAATAAGACCTCTTCACCTTCTTTATTATGAGACGGTCTACATCAGCCTTTGGATGATCATCTTATACTTCTTGTTTTAGAATCCATTTGTCTGATGTCATTTAGAGTCCAGTTCAAGATGTTGAAAACTATATTGACCACTGGGATGGCTAGGTTATTAATGGTCATAATTCTGTTCTGAGAATTCAATTCAGTTTTTTTAATACCATGTGCCTTCTATAGTACTCTTTTACGCACTGTTTCTTTCATTTTCTTATGGTGAATTCCTTCACTCTCATTTACACCTAGGTACTTTTTTTTTGTTCTAAATCTTTATTGTTACAGTCCTAATAGAGGAAGTTTGTTGTAAAAAACTGTATTTAGCCATTTATCCAAATTTGGGTCTTCACTGAAGCATTTTACAGTTTGCAGAAGACCTTCCAGCTCATTGTCATTCCTAGCATACAATTTTAAGTCATCCATGTAAAATAGATGGTTTATTTTCTTTTGAGCTATTTTTGCATTCTGTCTTGTTAAGTTGGCTGTCTTTGCAAAATAATAAAGGAGACAAAGAGTCACCAAATATTTCTATTGATGTTTATTTCAGACTTATAGGTTCCCATTTTATGATTGAGGTAAAGTGTTTTTCCATCATACATTGTTTGATGAAATTGATGATAACAGGTGATACCTTGTACATACTTAAAGACTTTAAGATCCAGGAATGTGGTACACTATCGAATGCTTTACGATAATCTATCCAGGCAATACTAAGATTTTTTTTCCACGGAAGCAGTTTTCCCAGGATCATCCTATTAATAAGTAATTGTCTTTACATCCGTAGCCCTCGTTTGCACCTTTTTGTTCAAGTTTGTCATTTTCTTTCCAAGAAATATGTTGTTTTGTTAAAATAGATGTTAAAGTTTGTATGTTGTTGGAAGACATGTAATTGGTCTATAGTTTTTCGGAATATTTGTGTCACTATTTTTGGGTAGAAGAAAGGTAACTCCTTTGGTCATCCATGCAGGAATTTTAGTTGGATCGGTAACCATTTCTTGAAGTTCTTTGGCGAGTTTTTTAAAGCTGTATTTAAATAATATAGCCAAAGTTAGAATTTTATCTATTCCTGGAGATTTCCAGTTGTGTGCTTTTTTTCAGTGCACATTTAACATCTTCTTCTGTGATTCCGCCCATGTCTGTTCTGGTTTATTTTTTCATTCATTCTAATCTTGCGCAATCAAATTGTTTCTTTAGGGCAAGCCCATTTTTCCCCAGAACTGTATTTCTTCCAAACTGTCACTTCTTCTTTGTTTACCTATTTCCTGTAAAATTTCTTTGCATCAATTTGAAAAGATCTTGTTCTGTCTATAGAATCTTGATCTTTTCTCGTAGCGTC